GGAGGTAAATAGCTTCTTGAAAAATTTAGATGGTTGGTTTTTGTTTGTTTTTTGAGTTGCAGTCTCACTCTGTCATCCAGGCTGGAATGCAGTAGCACACTTACAACCGCCACAGCCTCCACCTGTTGGGCTCAGGTGATCCTTCCGCCTCGGCCTTCCAAGTAGCTGGAACTCTTGCCCGGCTGTTTTGTATGTATGTATGTATGTATGTATTTATTTATTTATTTATTGTAGAGGTGAGGTCTTGCCAAGTTGCCCAGGCTGGTCTCAATCCCTGGGCTCAGGCAATCCTCTCACCTCAGCCTCCCAAAGTGCTGGGATTATAGGCTTGAGGCACTGCACCCGGCTAGGTGGTTGTTTAAGGCTTTGCTAAATAGAAACTGAAAGTATCCACTTTTGTAAGAAGAAGCAGCCTCACATACCTGTCTAAATTCTAAATTCTTTTCTGTTCTTTTCATTTGTCAGTCTTAGCTGAGACTGCATTCGTTTATATTCTTGTGATAATATTTAAGCTTAGACATCTGGTAGACAGGAAGGGGTTCATTTGCCTTTTTGTGCCATGAAACAAGGTTATTTACTTACTTTGTGTAGAGAATGTTATTTTTATTTAATCTGCAAGTCTTTAAAGTACCAAATCTGAATTATGACTTTAGTCAAATACACTTCTCATATGTATTTAATATGCCACATTATTTTCTACATAAAGTAATCAATACCTAGTGCTTTAGAGTGTGTATTAGGCAGGTTTGCATTGGCTTAGAAATGTTGAAAACTTATTGCAAGAAGTTAAAATGCTTTTTCTTTTTACTTAATATCCAAGATAATTGAGATTTTTCTTTTTGAGTCAGAGTTTTACTCTGTTACTCAAGCTGGAGTGCAGTGGCACAGTGATGACTCACTGCAGCCGCCAACTCCTAGGCTCAAGCGATCCTCCTACATCAGCCTCCCGAGTAGCTGGGACTGCAGGTATGTGCCACTGTGCCTCACTATGTTACCCAAGCTGGTCTTGGGCTCCTGGGCTCAAGCAGTTCTCCTACCTCAGCCTCCCAGAGTCCTGGGATTACAGGCATGAGCCACCAAGCCCAGCTGAGTTTTATTTTAAAGCTTTACTAGACCCTTAAACTTTTGTGGTTATTGTGTCTTTTTGGTAGATTGTACCTTTTATCAGTAAAACTGTCTTGTGCTTCATCTGTTATGTCTGAATGGTGTTTTGTCTGATACTGCCTTCTTTTTGTTAATACTTACCTTCTATAATTTTACATTTTTTGAACCTTACTATGTCATTTTGTTTTACGTCATACGTTACAAGCAGCGTGTATTAATAGTTATTTTTGTTGTTGTTGTTTTGTTTTGTTTTTTTTGAGTTGGAGTCTCACTATCGCCCAGACTGGAGTGCAGTGGCCGCTTCCGGCCACCGCAGCCTCGACCTGCTGGGCTCTGGCGATCCTTCCGCCTCAGCCTTCCAAGTAGCTGGAACTACAGGCACATGCTACCACGCCTGGCCAATTTTTTTGATTTATTGTAGAGATGAGGTCTCGCCTGCCCAGGCGGGTCTCAAGCCCACGGGCTCAGGCAGTCCACTCACCTCAGCCTCCCAAAGGCGCGGGATTACAGGCTGAACCACCGAGCCCGGCTTATTTTTGGTTTTAAACAATTCAAAAGTCTGTCTTTTGATGTGAGGGTCTAACCTATTCACATTTATTGTTACAGTTGACATGTTTAGTGATTATTGTTGTACTTACTCTGGTTTTTTCTTTCTTGTCTTACCCTCTTCTGCTTTTTATTGTATTGGTCATGCTTCCATTTTGGCATTTGTTTTTAGTGGTAAGGAAGTTGTACTTTTCTATTACTGTTCTTGTGTTCAACCTCAACTGCTAGTTTGGCTAGGTATAAGATTTAGGTATAGATAATCTTTCTTCAGAACTTTGAAATTGTTAACTGGTTTTTAGTACCAAATGTTGATGATGGTCTGGAGCCAGATTGGTTTTTTTTTCTAAGTAAGCTGGGCTTTTTTTCCGAAACACTTTTAGAATTTTTGTTGTGAAATTTCACCATAATGTGTCTAAAAACATGTATCATTTTTCTTCACCTCCTAGAATTTCCATAATACTTTCTTAGATCTTCTTTTCTATACTTTTCCTTCTAGAACTAAAGATAGGCAAATGTTGGAACTTGTGGATTTGTATTCCAGGTCATTTAACTTTTTCTCCATACTTCTCACCTCTCCACTGTTCTCATGTTATTCTGTCAGTTTTTTGGCTCAATCTTTTCCTTTTTAATTTACTCCTCAGCAATGCCTATTCTAATATACAGCTAATCCATTAAGTTAGTTGTTATAATCTCTTCTCGTTTTTAAGATTTCTAATTGGTGTTCTTTAAAAGCAGGCTTTTTCCCCCCTATGACTTCAAGTTAACCTCTTCTTTCTCTGATACTACATTTTCTGTTTGCTTGGTTTATCCTGCTTTCTCTTGATTATGTAGTCTCTTGAAAGAAAGAGGCAAGGTACGCTCCTGTCACTGTCACTTACTTCTTTTTATTTTTCTTTTAAGAGATAGAGTCTTGCTATGTTGACTAGCTGACCTCAAACTCCTGGGCTTAAGCAGTTCTCCCACCTCAGCCTCTTGAGTAGCTGAGACTATAGGTATGTGCCACTGCTCCCAGCCCACTGTCTCCTCCCTCCCTCTGAATGACACGGCCAGCACTACTCTATTCTGACTTTCTGCTTCTCTTCAGGAGAATAGGATTGTTGAGGTTGTATCAAATGCAGGCTTTCTAGCAATCACCCCATGCTTGCCCTGGAGCCCACAACTACATAAGGGATTCCTAGTTGTCTTCTACTGTGGGTATTTTGTGGGTGTTTCTTTGTTTTCTAGTTCTGGCATGTATGAGTATTCATAGTCCTGAAACATCTGTAGCCTTGAAATTTAACATATATTTAGAAGATTTTAAATTCATCTATTAATCTATATGTGCTTATCTTAGTTCCTTTCATCTTCCCACATCAGTTTTTAAAAATACATATTCCTTGTTGACACTGACTAGCTTAAACTAGCTGTGTAATATTCTGAACTTTAGATACTTAGAGTTTCCTAGAAATCCTTCTTTTCATACCACACTTTGTAAAAAAAACTTTAACTGTAGTCATACTGAAGAAGGGAAACAAGAAAAATGGAGGGGACAAAGCAGAAAAGGGAAATGAAGCAAGAGTAGGGGAGTAAAGAACAGGTACAAGAAAGGATTGCTGTCTTACTTTTTGTGACCAGAGTACCCTGGGCCCCAAGCAGTTGGTTTTCACAGGTTCGTTATTTGTGGGGCAGCTACTTTTGCTTTGTTAGTGCTTGACTGTTGGAGGTACGTGGGTTCTTCCATGCTACCATATTTGTTAAAGTTGCATGCATTAACAAACATTGATCAAGTTTTGTGCAAAAACATACCACAAAGAAACCTGACTAACTAGCATTATTTCTTCCCAAATAATTGATGCATGTATTCGCAACTGTTCTCAGTAGGTATTAACTACCAGCTCTTCTATATTGTACATATGAAGTGTGTGAGTCGGGTCTTCCAGAATGTGGACACTGAAACAGATAAAGGAATGCAAGAGGTTTATTGATGAGAAAACAGATGATTTGGGGTAGCATTTGTAATGAGTATTTGTATTATCTACACTGTTGACAAGCAGCCTAATGAAAAAAATAGCAAAACTTAAGTAGTTTTCAGAATAAGAACTAATACTGGAATATTACTTCATGCCAGAGTTTCTTAATCTTGGTACTTTTGATGTTTTGGGGTCTAATAATTCTTTGTTGTGGTGAACTGTTATGTGCATTATAGGATGTTAGCAGCATCCCTGGTCTCTACCCACTAGATGCTAGCAACTCCCGGCCCCCTTCCTGTTGTGATAATCAAAAATGTTTCAAGGTTTCAAGGCATTGTTAGATGTCCCTTAGGGGATAAAATTAGCCCTGTTTGAAAACCACTTTTTTTTATACCCATGGACAAAAATTAAACACAGTTAAATCACATCTAATAGAATGATGGGAAAGTGGTACTTAAAAGCACTACAGCCTTTTTGGAAAAGTCTGAGTGTTTCTGAAATTAAAAACATGTAAGTCTTTTAGCTGGGCATGGTGGCACATGCAGTAATTCCAGCTACTCAGGAGGCTGAGGTGGAAGATCGCTTGAGCCCAGGAGTTTGAGACCAGCCTAGGCAACAAAGTGAGACCCTTTCTCAGTTAAAATATGCACATATATGTATGAGGGGGGACCCCCAAAAACCTGGAATTGTTTTTTGTAGGACAGGTCTCCTTAGTACAGGCTTCTTCTGCTAGGTAAGTTTTCTAGGAACTCATCAATGTACCAGCTAGTGTTGTTGGGAGAGGCTACATTCAGCGTCAGCATATTTTTTTTGGAGATTCTTTCAGTACTCTTCCCCGTTTCATAATGGATGATTTACAAGTTCACTTGCCCACACTGCACTGAGTGTTCAGCAGTTTTTGACCAAAAGTGGCATGACCCCTGTGCCCCACTCTCCCTGTTCACCTGCTCTCATCCTGGAGTGCCTTTCTTTTGCTTCCCTGGATGATGTCCTCAAAGGGAGGACTTTTTTTTAATGTTTTGCCAATGCGGAAGAGGTGAAACAAACAAAAGATAGCAGATGTACTAAAAGGCATCAAAATTGACGAGTTCCAAAACTGTTTTGAACAGTGGAAAAAGCATCTTGATAGATGTATTGCGTCAAATGGAGACTACTGAGGTTTAAACATGTAAGAATTTTTGATAAATAAATTATAGTTTTTTTTAGGTCCCTCCTTGTATGCCTTTTGACTCAGCAGTACTACTGCTAAGAATCTATCCCATGAAGATAGTTATATGAAGCTACTTGCACTGTAAACAGCCATTCTATTCTTTTTCTTTTATCATTTTATCATTTAATCACTGTGTTGAGTCTACTTCTGAATGTTGATTAGCATTTAATAATTGTTTCTTCTCATTTCAGAACTCTCTTGATAGAGCCCAAGCAGCCAAGAACAAAGGCAATAAATATTTTAAAGCGGGAAAATATGAACAAGCTATTCAGTGCTATACCGAGGCTATTAGTTTATGTCCTACAGAGAAGAATGTCGACCTTTCCACATTTTATCAAAACAGAGCTGCTGCCTTTGAACAGTTGGTATGTACCCTAGGTGGTTTTTCTGCTCCTTTTTTCTCTTTATTTGCTTAAAATTTCAATTAATGCTACTCAAATAAATGTAATTCATGTTTTGAAGTTGCTTTGAAATTATGGGATTTTCATTATTTTTATTTCCTTTAATTACAAAACTTATTTAATAAGAAGTTTTAGTTTTTCTGACTACAGATATACTTCAAAATTAAATACATCTTAGATTTTATAAAATTAGATAGCATAGAAAATTAAGGTTTCTGGTGATCCTAGTCTTCTCAACAATTTGAGACTATTTCTTCAGCTTTTTGTCTCTGTGTATGTAGTAGCTGGCATATGCAGGGGAAAAAAGACCAGCGTGCTTTCCTATTATACATATTGTTAGAAACATAATTATATCTTGTGCAGCTTTTCATATTAGCATATGCAGTTTTCATTCATTCTTTTAAAAGTCTTTATGTTGTAGCCATTGTATAGTTCTATAGTGGATTGATGCATAGGACAGTGAAGAGAGTGTTACAAATAGAAGAAACGAGTGTGTGTCATTCATTGCTCTAAGGCAGGAAGAGTTTGGTGTTTTTAAAGAAGTATAATAAAGTTCCTGGAGTATAGAGAGATGAAACTGGAAAGGTAGACAGGCAAAGCCTTGTAGGCAATGGTAGAGTTTGGGTTTAATTTTGAGTGTATTGGGAAATGTTTAAGGGTTATAAGCAGGGCAGGGATATCTGTAAGTTTGCTCTCACTATTGTGTCAAGAATATGTTGGAGGAGGCAAGAATGGAGACAGGGATACCAAGTTAGGATGCTGCAGTAGCTTAGGTGAGGCATGAGGGAAAGCCAAAGAGCAACAGGATTTGCTGTTGCATTGGATGTTCAGGGTGAAGAGAAGCAGGAATTTTAACATCAGTGAGTGGGGAAGGTCAGGCAGAGAAGGAGTGAGACAGGTAAGTGAGACATGTCTGTATTTTAGGAGAATAGTCTGGGCTGGCTAGATAAATTTGGGAGTCATCTCGTTTGGAATGCTATAGAAAACCAGTCAGTAGATATAAGGTCTTGAGGATTCTAGCATGTATAGATCAGGCAGAGAAGAAGAATTTAGCAAAGGAAATTGAGAGGGTGGAATTACCAGTAAGGTGGGTGGAAATCAAGTAGAGTAGCAGCTCTTTGAAGATTTGACAATAAAGAGGAGCTAAAAAGTGGGGTAGTAGCTGCAGGAATTATGAAGTCAAAGGAGGATTTTTAAAAGATGAAAAATACTAGAGCAAGTGCGTTTATATTTATATGAATGCTTCAATAGAGAAATAGCAGATTGATGCAGAGAAGGGTTAGCTGAAGGAGTGAAGTCCTGGAGTGGAGAGAGCGTGGCTCAGGTCACCAGTGGAGGGTGGGCCTGTGATGAAGATGGCTGCTTCCTCAACTTTAGCAGGAGGGAACAAGAAGAAGGCATGAGCACAGAGCACAGAGCTGCAGGTAGGTGTGTAGATTTGGTGGTGCAAAGATGGCCTAAGTATGTCCATTGCCTATTTTTAAAAATGAGACTCTAACTCAAAAAAAAAAAAAGAAAGAAAAAGAAAAAATCTGGTTGCTTGTCTTTGTTACAGATACTTATATGAACTTTTGTAATGTACTATGGACATCAACTCTTTGTTGATACTTTTTCTATTGTTGTACTCTTAATTTTGAGCCTGTTGAGTTTAGAAAACTGATTTCTGTTGAATAGTGCTTGTTTTAGTGTGACTTTTTTTAATACTTTGAATTACAGCAAAAATGGAAAGAGGTGGCACAAGATTGTACAAAGGCTGTTGAACTTAATCCCAAATATGTGAAAGCTCTCTTTAGACGTGCAAAAGCCCACGAGAAGCTAGACAATAAGAAGGAATGTTTAGAAGGTGAGGGTAATTTTGTGTTTACATATATTGATAAATTTATATGAAACTTTACCTTATGAGTACAGAAATCAGTTGTCTAAAGTTGGGACTCCTCTGCATTTGATACTTTATCTTCTAGTTTACATTGAGATTGATGATACTTAGTATTGTCTCTATTCTCAAGTATGGAATTAAGTGAGTATTAAGATATGGAGTTTATATACTATGTATTTTAAACTTGGCAGTATTATAATTCTGTGAAAAAGGAAATTAGAAAAGAGGTTTTATTTTAGCAAAAGTGTTTCTAAGATTCTACATATTTCAGTTAATAGCCTGTATAAATATGAGGTAATTCTAAGATGAATCTTTACAATAAACATTTGTTTTTTTCAAGCGTTATTTTGTATCCAATGGAAAGTATGTAATTGGTACAAAACAATAAGTAAGTTTCTTATTCTCAGTAAATGCTGCAAATATTCTGTGACTGCTAATTGTCAGTATACCTTTGGTTTTTAAAGTACATTAACCTAGGTGACATGGGACAAAACTATAGTGTAATTTCTACAGTCTAAAAGTTCTTTCCACTGCATATTTAAACCTGCTTTAAAAGCAGCAATACGATTTAGTCATAATTATTATTATTTATTTAAATAACATTTTTCAAGAGGAAAAGCCCCCTTTAAAAAAATCTAAATTACAAATGAGCGTGTTTTATATAACATTTTAGCAAAATTTGAGGTTTTGTGGTAGCCTGTAGTTTGGTAGTGGGTGAAAGGAGTGTTGCTTTAGAAAAGGAAATTCAAGTTTTGAATCAGACCTTGAAGTTACTGACATAAAAATTGACAGAGAAGAGATTGACTGGAGTTTTAGAAGAAATGGCATGATAAAAGACATTGACACTGGCACTAGCCAAGGTTATCAGGAATGTAACAAAGGTTGAGAGGCTGAGGGACCACTGATCTTTTAAATTTCAAACCACCATATCTTGAGCAGTGGCATAACCAGGTGAAAATGGTATTTTTGAGGCAGATAAATTTGAGATGACTTTGGAGACAAGGAGTAACTCAGAAGCCTACAGAGAAGACCAGACATGAGAGAGCTACAATATGTTGATTGCTTTAGAGTTACTAGCCAGAATAGAATATTCTTGGATTCCTTGTTTTATTTGCTACATGTAGAATGTTAGAGCAGTAGGAAATGTCAGAAGTTATGCAGTACAGCCACTTTAATTTCACAGGTAAGGAAAACAAACCCCAGAGAAGTGGAGTGACTTCCTGAGCTTTCAGTTTAGTCATAGAGTAAATAAAATTGAAGTATTAAGAATTAGCATATTGGAAATTAAACAGATGGCCCCATCAGGCTAACTTTATCTTAGCTTTCTGTAGCTGCATTGTGCCCATTTGACGTTGCTGACCCATCTTTGTAGTACTTCCATATTTACTCTTGTGTTCCCCATCATTTCTAGATGTCACTGCTGTGTGTATATTAGAAGGGTTCCAAAATCAACAGAGCATGCTATTAGCTGATAAAGTTCTTAAACTTCTTGGAAAAGAGAAAGCCAAAGAAAAATACAAGGTAAATTCATCTGAATTAGTGCAGAAAAATTAATCTGAAAAATACAAGGTAACGGAGTACTCTGTACATCACGAAGGGTCATTTCTAATTTGTGCTGTCTAAACTTGGGCATAGTGGTAATGGTAACTGAAATTAGAATTTGGTTCTATTTCTTTTTCTTGTATTCTTGGGCTTTTATGACTTATCCTTTTTCAGTAAGAATGTAGGCTCTGTTCTGTGCTTAACCTGGAGAATATTGGAATTCATCTATATTAGGGATTGCCACACTACTACAGTAAAGTTGAGTGGTTGTGACAGAGACTATATAGCCTGCAAAGCCTAAAATATTTACTATCTGCCCTTTTACAACAAGATGCTTGCCAACTCAAATATCATTAAGGTTTTTAAAGGTATGCTGTGGGGGTCCCCAACCCCCACAGACCAGTCAGTATGTGGAGCCAGGCCACACAGCAGGAGGTGAGCGGCAGATGAGCAAGTGAAGCTTCATCTGTATTTATAGCCACTCCCCATCGCTTGGATTACTGCCTGAGCTCTGCCTCCTGTCAGATCGGTGGCAGCATTAGATTCTCATAGGAGCACAAACCCTATTGTGAACTGCTCACGTGCGGGATCGAGGTTGTGTGCTCCTTATGAGATTCTAATGCTTGATGATCTGAGGTGAAGCTGAGGTGATGATGCTAGCACATACAGATTAATATAAGCAGTGAGGTTTGATTGCACGTTCCCCCCTTTTCCCCCGTTCATGGAAAAATTATCTTCTGTGAAACTGCTCCCTGATGCCAAAAAGGTAGTAGGGGACTCATGGTATACTGTGTAAGTGAGCATTAGTTTTAGACTGTTAGTAACAGATGATCTAATTTGACTAACATCAAATAGAGCTCCATGCTGGAGGGTTGGGTATAAAGACATGGTCCTTGCCCTTAAAGGATTGCAATTTAGTGAGAAGATACTGTTACTAACTATGAAAGGCATGATATGGTGAAGTGTTCAAGGGGGAGATGTAAGTAGAGTGCTATGAGAGTGCCACAGGCATCACTAAACATCACTGAAGAGTCACTGCTGAAGTTAATCCAGGTGGTTGTTCCTATTTTATTTCGTAATTATTTGCTTTTTTCTTAAGTTGATTATAAAAATTTGAGTGTTTCTGATTTTACATCTCTGAATGTTAGCAGAGTTTAACAGAGTTAAAACAGGTTCCTTCACTGCAGGACTTTAATGTACTAAGATGTGTTGTTAATCTCCTAGAGGTATACAGCTGGAGTAGTTCTCAGTCTCTTTAAACTAGGGAACTTTTTTTCTTTGAGCATCTCATAGGACTGGTATTCCTCAGAAACACTTTGTGATGCACAGGAGAGTCTCATAAGTAGAGCCTCAGAGGAATCCAGCCTCCTTGTACATACTATTGAGTAATTAGACTAGTTGGATTGCAGTAAGGTAAGAAAATATAAAATAGCCTGTATTCACATAGGTTACAAATCAGTTTCCAAATATTTTTTTCTAATCTGTTTGTATACTACTTTGTAAATTACAAAATACTTGCCATATTATTGTTTTGATTTTTACAGCAACCTTATACAATAAATAATGCAAGTATGCCATTTTAGAGACTAGAGGTTTAAAACTTTGGTGTGTTAAATTGTACTTCAAAAGGAAGTTGCCATGCCAAAAAGAAATAATCAAAACAGGAAATGTGATTTCAGTATGGTTTTCAGTGTCACTTACCTGTAATGAGGATCTTTAGAGAAAGCATTTTCAGTGCCTGTGTGAAATATGGTCCTATATCTTTGGAGAGGGAAAAGGCCTTCACTTAAACCCTGCTTTGAACAGCTGGGACTGGCAGCTTCACCTGTTCCACTCTTTTGTCCTGTGAGTTGGAGCTTAATATTCTTCAATGACTTGAAAATGTTTACAACAGTCATTCTTAGTGTTCTGCAATGTACCTGCTTCTTTGGCTCATGTTTTCTCATTCTGCTTTATTTAAACACGACTAAAATTCAGAATCGTGAACCTCTGATGCCATCTCCACAGTTTATCAAATCTTACTTCAGTTCTTTCACGGATGATATCATCTCTCAGCCCATGCTTAAAGGAGAGAAGTCTGATGAAGATAAAGACAAGGAAGGAGAGGCTTTAGAAGTGAAGGAAAAGTAAGTACCTCAAGCATGGTGCCTGCTTCTAATGGGTTTTTGCTTTCATGAAATTTCCCTAGAGCCCAAGTGGGTTTTGAGTTATCTTAAAAATAAAACCCAGCTATGTATCTACAGATACAGATAGAAATATAATAAAACATTATCTACAGTAGCTGTGAGTGTGCCATTGCACTCTAACCTGGGTGACAGAGTGAGAATCCTACTCAAAAAAAAAAGAAAAATTATTTAATATTATTGTACTTATAATAAAAACACTTCTCTTTCTAGCAAGTGTCTGTTACTTCTCTGGTGACTCAAGGTTTAATTGTCAGAAATCTACCCTACTTTTACTAAAGGTCCTGCATGATATTCTCAAGAGGATGCTCACTGAATTAAGTGGTTGACTATGTTTGAATAGAGACACTAACTGAAAATTGTGTAACCCAGCATGCATATGTTTTAGTTTAGGGACATTTTAAATTTATAAACTGAGATACTTAGGGGTGCCAGTAGAGTGAATTCTTCAAGGTTTCTTCTGCTTGCCTAGGAAAATGCCTTTGGGGGGGCAGGCATCTTGTGTTTTATCCTATAGAGAGCTGGATTCAAAGTATAGTTTGTGCCGGGCATGGTGTCTCACCTGTAATCTCTGCACTTTGGGAGGCTGAGGTGGGAGGATTGCCTGATACCAGCCTGGGCAACATAGCGAGACCTCATCTCTATGTAATTAAAAAACATTAGCGGGTGTGACAGCATCCATTTGTAGTCCCAGCTACTTGGGAGACTGAGGCAGAAGGATCACCTGAGCCCGGGAGGTAGAGGCTGCGGTGAGTCCTGATCATGCCACTTCACTCCTATGTGGACGACACAGATCCCCAATTTTTAAAAAAAGTACAGGTTGCTATGTTTATAGCTGGAGATCTAGTGATACAATGTCATTTATAAGCCATCTAGCCTGCTTATATATTTATATTTGTCAGTACTTCTGTTTTGCTGCCAAGGCTACCTCTCCTGTGTCAGAGAAGCTACAATATTATTGCCAACATGTCATTTTTAATGAGTTTGGAGGGAAATATTGTTCTGGTAACAAAGCATAACTGGGTTTTGTATCTGTAGCATATTGGAGGGTGTGAGGAAACAGATTGTTTTTGATCTTTGTCTCCCAATTTTTCAACTGTTACTGACCACCTTTTGAGAGAAGGTACTGTGCATTATTGTACCAAAATATGTAAATTTTAGTTAGTTGATATATGATCTTTCTGAAAATTGTAGTTGGGTAGTAAATGTTGAAGATGTCATATAGCTCTTATAACAGTGATGCAAATAATCTCCTCAGAAAAACTACAGTGAACTTCATACCATTGTTCTAAAAGCTGTATTGCAAGATGGCAGGATATAGCTAGCTTTCATCCAAACACTAACTAGAATTAGGCCTGTGTTTTAAATTTCATTTTACTTGGAGCCTTGGCCTCATCATCTTTTATATAGAGCTATAGTAGTAGTTACCTTACAGGGCTATTGTGAGGTTTAGAAATAATGTTTATAAATACCTAGCACTTAGGTTCTCAAGAAGTAGAAACTTACTACTTCTAATCTCATTTAATAATTGTTTGTATTGTGTTAGACTTGTGACCTAAAGAGCAACACTAGAGTGTGGGGAACATTAGGATGTAATTATAGGAAAGGGGTAGCACAGAGTGTCTAAGATTTTGACTGATAACTTATAAGTCATTTGCCAGTTTTCTTTATACAGAATCTAGCAACTAAAATGAGAAAATGTACTTTAATTTTCAATGCTTTGTGTTTGGAGGATTCCTCAAATGTCATCTAATGTAAATTTTAGTTAAAAAAAAAAATCCCTTATACAAGCATCTCCAATAAAAATCCATCATCCTAGGAGAATAATAAGTGATACTGTGCTCACTGCATTTTTAAAAAATAGAGAAGGGTGTTTTTTTAAGTCCTACTTGATGAAAGACTTCTCCTTTAAATTTGTTTCTTTGATAAGTCAATTTGTTAATTCTAGGTTTGTTCTTTTAGGTAAAACAATAAATCTTCTGTGTGAGAGCCCTTCAGGTGTTTCCCTGTCTCTAGTCTTACATCCTTACAGTCCAGGCTGCTCCCCACAAAGTAACCAGAGTGTTCTTTACAAGCACTGCTCTGATCATGTATCTTGCCTTCTGTGACTCTAAACTCACATATTTCCCATTTCTCTGTTTTTTCTGTTACTAAACAACTGTTGAGTGCCATCAATGTGCCACAGATGCAAAGGTGAATAAGACACAAACAATCCTTACCCATGTTGCAGATCAGTCTCCTTCAGTAGCTCATCTTTTCACTCTCTAAATGTCTAAGGCAGGGCATTAGCCCAGGTTTCTGCCATTGACTCTGCTGTTTCCTTTTTAAAACTTGTTCTTAAGGCATCAAGAAAATCCCAATATGCATCAAAAATCCTAATCTGTTTAACCTCTAACTCTAGTCCCATGCTGACTGTTTATCTCATTGAGGGGAAGTAGACACTTGTTTAATTCAGGTGTGCTAAATGTGGCAAGTTGATCTTTTGTTAGTAAGGAGTTTCCTATGTTTGTTTTTATTTTTCAGTTCTGGATATTTAAAGGCTAAACAGTATATGGAAGAAGAAAACTATGATAAAATCATAAGTGAATGCTCAAAAGAAATAGATGCTCAAGGCAAATACATTGCAGAAGCATTATTACTAAGAGCCACCTTCTACCTGCTTATTGGCAATGCCAATGCGGCCAAACCAGATCTAGATAAGGTCATCAGTTTGAAAGAAGCGAATGTGAAGGTACATTTTAAAGTGTGTGTGTGTGTGTGTGTGTGTGTGTGTAAATTATTAAACTGAAGTCATGCTTTTAGATGTTTTGCCAGGTTTTTTAGCATTTCAGCTACCTTTCTCCAAAATGCTGTTTTTTGTTTTGGAAGGAACTATATCTAACAATGATTTAGATGGTGCAGTGAATCTGAAACATAAATATCAGTGATATTTATCTTTAGGTAGGAAAGGAAAGGTTTTTTCCTACAGCATGTATCTATAGGAAAGGGCTTCCTTTTGTAGCCATTGCCTACTATATTGGAGTATATCTGGGCAATGGCAAAGGTGATTTAGCAGTACTATAGGTAATGCCATCAGTGGCATTAATATTAATACCAAATAATGTTAATACCAAGTTATAAAACATTTAAACAAAAATAAACACTTAATATACTTTGAAAGATTTTGTGTTACATGAAAAAAAGCTCTAAAACTGCGATGCATAAATATGCCAAAAGTTTTGCATTTGTGTGGTTGAACAGCTTTCCATTTTCCAAGTGTTCTTCATATGTATGTAATAATTTTCATAAGATTTATGGGCATCTGTTGAATATGCGAGCTATCTACTCTGTAACAAGATATAAGTTAGCCACCAATTACCTATATTCCTTATTAGTTTGTTAACATCTCTGTGGCCTATTTCCTCATTGAATTGAATGAACCGTGTAGATTGTTTCACCTCTAAATGATCATTCCTGTATTTGGGGGGGATATAAAAATTGCTTTTAAGGCCTAAGAATTTGTTAAAAATTTCTTTCAGAATAAGATTTTCAAATTCCTCATTATATTAACTTTAATTTTATTTCCTTCTGATTTTTCTGATGACTACAACTATTCCATTGTGTATTTTTGGTATAATTGTGGAGGATGTTCATACTTGTTTTGCATATGTGTAGAATTGACGTGTATTATTGGCGCTGAACAAAATTTTGAAGAAGGCTATTTTCATGATCTTTACTTTTAATGGCAAGTAGTAATGATGCTTACCATATGCCATGTACAAAAATTAACATATAGAGACCAAAATGTAAGAGCTAAAAATATTAAACTCTTAGAAGAAAACAAAAGAGTAAGCATTCATTACCTTAGATGAGCAGTGCTTTCTTAGATATGACACCAAAACTACAAACAACCAAAAAAATTGATAAATTGGGCTTCATCAAAATGAAAAACTTGTGTTTAAAAGGATATTTTGCTGCGTACGGTGGCTAATGCCTGTAATCCCTGCATTTTGTGAGGCGGAGGTGGGAGGATTGCTTGAGCCCTGCAGTTCAAGGTCAGCCTAGGACACAAAGCAAGACTTCATCCCCACAAAAAAATTTTTTAGAAATTAGCCAGGTTTGGTGGTCTGTGCCTGTAGTTCCAGCTTCTTGGAAGGCTGATGTAGGAGGATTGCTCAAGCCTAAGAGGTTGAGACTGTGGTGACCTGTAATTATGCCACTACAGTCCAGCCTGGACAACAGTGACACTCTGACAAAAATAAATTAAATTTAAAAGATACTATCGAGAAAGAGAAAACACATTACACTAAGTGGGAAAAAACATTCAGAAATCATATATTTGAAAAGGAACTTGTATCCAAAATAAGGAACTCAATATAAAGACAACCTAAGTTTAAAATGGGCAAAGGATGATCTAAGTAGACATTTCTTCAAAGAGTATATACACATGACTAATAATAACATTAAAAGTTGTTCAACGCCATTAGCCATTAGGGAAATACAAATCCAAACCACATTGAGATATCACTTCATACCCACTAGGATGGCTATGATTAAAAAAAGAGAGACAATAAGTCAATAATAAAGCAAATAAAAAGCATGGACAACAGCAAATATTTCTGAGGATGCGGAGGAATTGGCACTCTTATACATTGCTAATGGGAATGTAAAATGGTAAAACTTTTTTGGAAATCCGTTTGGCAGTTCCATACAAAATTAAACAGAGTTACCATATGATCTAGCAATTCCACTCCAGGTAAATACCCACCAAAATGGAGTACATATATTAACATAAAAACTGTGTATGAGTGTTTGTGTATAGCAGCCAAAAAGTAGAAGCAATTCGAATGTCCATCAGTTGATGAATGGGTACACAAAATGTGATATTTCTAGGGTGGAATATTATTCAGCCATAAAAAAAAAAACAATTAAGTACTGATACATGCTACAACATGGATGAACCTTGGAAACATGCTTATGAAGGAAGCCAGACGCAAAAGATCATGTAATATGTTATTCCACTTACATGAAATGTCCTAAAGAGAAATAGAAAGTAGATTGGTTGTTTTTAGGGGCTGAGGAGTAAAGGGAGGATGAGGAGTGACTACTTTAGAAGTGTTGGGTTTCTTTCTGGGGTTATAAAAATGTTCTGGAATTAGATAGTGGTGATCGATGTACAACTTAGTGAATATTCTGAAAAAGGCTGATGTGCATACTCTGAAAGGGTGACCTTTATGCTATGTGGATTGTATTAAAAAGCTGTCATTTGAAATACTCTTTTGGAAAAAAGAGTAATGACGAACCTTTTTCTCATTTGGGATTACAGCTCCGAGCAAATGCTCTCATCAAAAGAGGCAGCATGTACATGCAGCAGCAGCAACCCTTGCTATCTACTCAGGATTTTAACATGGCTGCTGACATTGATCCTCAGAATGCAGATGTTTACCACCACCGAGGACAGGTAACGATTTTCTTACTCAGAGTTCTGTCCTTTGGATTGAGCTGTTTGATACCGTTTTGAGAATTTCATCCAGTTTTATTTCTGATAGTTTTGAGCAAAGTATCAGAGTAGTTGACAGTTTGAATTGGCCTTTGTTTCCATCTTGAGCTGTGTCCTTATAATCTTGGTATTTACTATGAAAAGAGAGAAAAGGAGGGCAAAAAATGTTGGCTTGCCAGTTCAAGACTGTTTCTCAGGTGTTTCTGGTTCATAGGTTTTCAATGAGTAAAATATTAATAACATTTAGTAAGCAATTTGAGTTAATGCTAGAATCAACAGGATGGTTTTTATGGGCTTTTTGCTATAAGGAGATAGCCTGGACTGCCCAAATAGCAAAAAAAAAAGAAAAGAAAAAAAATTCTATTTTGGGATTTTGTCACAGGTAGGTGAGATTTTTTTTTAGTAAAAATATATTGTGGAGAAAACAGTTCCCAATTATAGTCTCGTGTGGGGAAAACATGGCTTTATAATTTGCTTAATATCGCTTCTTGGAATGCATAATAGTAGAAAATTTGGAATATCCATTATAATACTAGAAAAGCTGAGGTTCTTTCTAATGAAGAAGTTTATCTAATATGATCGTGCGTTCTGCCTGAGAAATGTATTATTAGTCAGCTTAGTTATGTGAACATCATAGAGTGTACTCAAACCTAGGTGGTATATCCTATACCTCTGCTGTGTGTTACAGCCTACTGTTCCTAGGCTACAAACCTGTAAGGCATGTTACTGTGCTGAATGCTAAAGGCAGTTGTAACACAATGGTAAGTGTGTATCTAAACATATAAAAGATACTATAAATAAATGGGCTATGTCATATATACACTATTGTATATGTGGTCTGTTGTGGATCGAAATGCTGTTAGGCGGTGCATGACTTTCTGAAAGTTAAGTGGCTGAGATAGTCTCTTAAAATTCTCAACATTTTGATCTTTACTGGCAGTGACTTAAGATTAATTTGAAAGGTAATTATCTGATGTCTAACCTGTTAGCCTCTTAAAATTCTCGACATTTTGATCTTTACTGGCAGTGTCTTAAGATTAATTTGAAAGGTAATTATCTGATATCTAACCTGCTTTGAAATTTGAAAATACAGAGACATTTTGTTTTCTAAAGAAAGGGTTTAATAATGATCAAAATTGCAGTGCAGATGGTTGACTTATAGTCCTTTTTTTAAAAAAAAATTGGATACTGGATTTGGAATCTCCTTTTAAATTACAAGATTTTCTCATTCGTTGTTTCCTGAAAGTAATTCTGTATGGAATAACTTCCTACATGCTGTGCATTATGCTGAGCTGTGGTAATGGAGAGGAGACCCACGTACTTACCTGGTGCATCTATTATTTTTGAGTTACATTTATTTATTTATTTTTCTTAGCTGAAAATACTACTTGATCAAGTTGAAGAAGCAGTGGCAGATTTTGATGAATGTATCAGGTTAAGACCTGAGTCTGCTCTGGCACAAGCTCAGAAATGTTTTGCACTGGTAGGTACTGCTTTCTTTTGTATTTTCCTAAACATCACTTTTATTTCTCAGTGTCAGCAAAATGAGTATCTCATTGTCTTCAAAGTCATCTGGTTTTCTTTCCCAAAGGAAAACTACAGGTTATAAAAACATATTAGTAAGCGTATATGCAGATTGACATACACCTTCTGTATTTCTCTGGATATTTGTTTGAGTTCATATCCCTGGCATTATGCTCCCCTAAATAGAACTGCTCTCCCTGCTTCTCTAACATAAACTAGTACAAAGAACAAGCATTGTGAGGAAATACTCTGCAGTCATGACACCACATAACTGCTCTTACATCTCTCCTTTGTAGAACTGTTTCTTAATATTCAGAAACATAAAAGGTAAAAGAAAATGAAATCAATTTATAGTAAAATGAGATACTTCCAGTTAGCCCTATAGCTGGAGTCCTAAAAGAATTTTCCTTTTAAAGAAAGTGAGTCACATACTTAAGCACATGTATATTGTGGGTGAAAAACATGATAAAAATTTCATTAGACTTACAGTTTTTCCATTTATATGCAAAGTTCACTTCTCACAAGTTAGTATGCCCTCTTCTACAATACTGAACATCTTAACATTGTATAGTCGCCATGAAATCCTACTTGTAGATAGCCTTTGGATTTCTGCTGCTAAGATACTTCCTTGGAACCCTTTTGGATGCAGCAAATTATGTTGGAAAATCACTTGCTTTGCTGGAAATATTTATGTAATTTTGTGTGTTTTTTATGTTAACACGAGTTTTTGAGTTCTTGATTTGACAGGCCCATTTTGATTTTTTTAAATAGTATCGTCAGGCATATACGGGAAACAATTCTTCACAAATCCAAGCAGCTATGAAAGGTTTTGAAGAGGTCATAAAGAAATTTCCAAGGTGTGCTGAAGGCTATGCACTGTATGCTCAGGTAAATGTAATTTTTCTATTTTTTAAAAAAGAACTGCATTCTTATGCTGAATTTCAGTATGGAAATCAGGAAACAGTGCTACCCTTGTTGCAGCTTCTGTGGAAGCAGGTGGCTTTTTCTGACTTTGGTTCTCATGGGGCCTGGGGTGGTCCTAAATCACCTCAGCAGAGGCTCCTTTAATGCACAGGTGGAAGCCATGGCCCTAAACTCATAATGTGGGGGAGTGTAAGGCAAGAATTCCTCTCATGTTTCCATTTAAATTGGTTTTGCAAAAAGTAATTGCCTTTGCAAAATTTACTATATGCAATTGGTGGGGAAATAGTTTTCTTTCTATTTGATCACTTCCTATTTAAATATATAGTCTTGCCAGGAGCAGTGGCTCATGCCTATATCCCAGCACTTCAGGAGACCAAGGTGAGAGGATTGCCTGAGCCCACGGGATCGAGACCAGCCTGGGCAACTTGGCAAGACCTCATCTCAGTAATAAAAATTTTAAAAATTAGCCAGGCTTGGAGTGGCATGTGCCTGTAGTTCCAGCTACTTGGAAAGCTGAGGTGGAAGAATTGCCTGAGCCCAGCAGGTCGAGGGCTGTGGTGGCCGTGAGTGTACCACTGCACTCCAGCCTAGGCAACAGAGTGAGACTCCAACTGAAAAAAGTAAATAAATGGGTAGGCTCTAGCAGTTTATTTCAATTTCTCTTGCTTTGTCTAAAATTCTTGGTGCTTTCTTCTTCGTTTAGGATGAAAGCTATAGAAAGCAGGATTTAAATCTGAATTATTTTAACTTTTTTATTGTAGTCTGATCTTTTTGAAGACTTACTTATTAATTTTAAATCATCCATTTAAATGAAAATGATTAGCTTCTTATAGGCACAGCTGTACTTTCCCCCCCATATTAAATTATGCCTGAATGACTCTATTGTCTTAGTCTTTAAGTTGAAAATTGTTTTTGGTATCTACCTAAACTGGCCATCTCAATACTCCATGTGCTATTTTTTTCTATTCATGTTATTACAAAAGAAATGTTGGAGTTTTCCCCCCACAAATATCACAGACATAGGAAACAAATTATTACCGTCCCTGGTAGACTCCTCCTCTTACACTATTCTTAAGGTTGCTTCTTTTGTTTTTAATCACCTTCACACTATTTTTAGGCAAATTATAAGGGAAATTTCACAAAAACATTGATGGTTTATTAAGGGAGGAACTATGAGAAAATTGTTTTGCGTTGGATCTGTTCTTTAAAGGTAGGTCTTATACATCACCGCGTTATTAGAGATTGAAATTCTGCAGTGTGAAGCACAACCCAGAAGTTCTTTAACCTCAGTTTAATCGTACCTATTCAGTTGTCATTATTTATAATCCTAGTCAGGATGGTGATAATATAAAAGGAAGCATTGGTTGCTGATTACATGTTGTACTTAATCAATCATAAAAGCATGTGCTATATAACATTTTAGAGAACGTATAAAAGTTAAAATCAAGCAAATGCACATTTTAATTGTATGAATAGGTACACTTGGGTTCATGCCTTATACCGGGATGTCCAACATTTTGGCTTCTCTGGGCCACACTGAGTAAAGAGGAATTGTCTTGGGCTACACATAAATTATATAATATAGTGTATATACATACATAATAAGACTTCTTTTACTTTTTTATAAGTTTAGAAAAATGAAAACAATAGAAACTAGTGGGAAATTTGATCTTGTTTTTGTAAAATTAATGTGTCAATTCTGGTTCGATGGAAGTGGTTGCAATTCTTAGTTCTCAAGGTGCTTGTTGGAAATGTTTGTTCAAATTTTTGTCTTCGTGTGCTTCATAATTGAAAACAGCTGCTCACAAATGTATGTGCTACCTAAAAGTGGTGTCATAAATAAGGTGTGATTGTGAACTTCAGTAATGGAAGTGGGGCATAGGGTCACAAAGAAAACACTAAGAAAGAAACACATGATATTAAAATATTTTGTGGGGCTGCATTACTAGGTGTCCTGGGCTGCATGCAGTCTATTGGCCGTGGGTTAGACATGCCTGCCTTATAATTCATTAGTAACAAGGAAGTAACAGCACCATCCTTCTCACCATGGAACTCAGATTTCTATAAGCAACTAAGAGAGCATTTAATGAAACCAATTCTAGGAACATCTCTTCTACAGAGCTTTCCTAATTGCACATATGCCTGTCACTGTTCTGCCTTCTATCGATTTGGTTTACATGAGCTGTCTTCTTGTCATCACTAGCATTATTACAGTCTGTTTGCATGAAGATCTCTTTTCTTTAGTCCCTCTTGTAATTTTTGCTTCACTGTATAATAAATATAATATAACTTCATATATACATGCAGCACATTACATATATACATATAGTTATTTAGTGTAACTTTTTTCTTTTTGACCTCAAAGGTTTGGCTTAGATGTTGGCCAGTTCTCAAAGTTACAGCTTGAGTAGGATCTGGTGTCCCAGAGTCAAGTCTTCTATTTCAGCTGTGGGATTTGCCTTAAAAGAGTTGATTATAGCTCCTTTTTTTCCCTCAAAAATATGTTTATTACATTATTATTAACTATTAACAAACAATTGGGGGGAAACCTAAATGTTCAACAGAAGATGGTTGTTTGCAAATTATGGTATGCTCACTCAATGACATACAGCTATTAAAAAAGATAATGTTAGATATAAAGTCGGATGTAAAACTACATTAAAAGCAAAATTATATACAAAATGGTGTCAACCATGGAAAAACACATAGTAGAGAGATACGTAGAAATAAATATATTAAGAAGGTTGTCATGCTCACAACTGGTAGAAGCTATAAAGATAATTGCTATTTTCTTATTTCTACTTTCTGCATCATTAGGATTTTTATTACAAAGAAGATGTACTGAGTTTATTTCTTACATGTTGTTAAGATTGATTTTTGAGCCGGGTGCTATGGTTTATGTCTGTAATCCCAGCACTTTGGGAGGCAGAGGTGAGAGCACTGTCTGAGCCCAGGGGTTCAAGACCAGCCTGGGCAATTTAGTGAGACCTCATCTCTACAATAAATCAAAAAATTAGCTGGGTGTGGTGGCACGTGCCTATGGTTCCAGCTACTTGGAAGGCTGGGGCGGAAGGATTGCTTGAGCCTAGCAGGTGGAGGCTATGATGGCCTAAGCGCGCCACTGCACTCCAGCCTGGGTGACAGAGTGAGACTCTGACTCAGAAAAAAAAAAATAATTACTTTCGAAATATCCATTTCATTTAAATTAGCTTATTTTAGATTTAAAAGAACTAAAAGTCATATAGTTAAACACAATGACACATATAGTTCTAAACATCACCTTATAAACAACTGGGATTAGCTTAGCATGGTCTTGGTATGAGATGATACTAGGGGGTTATTTTTGGAGCTGTTGTATTAGTGTGAGTAGTTGATTGTAGCTGCTTTTTTTTTTTTTAATCGTTTTTAAGGAAAGACTGATAACATTTAACACATGCACCTTAACTTACCCTTTCAAATTAGTTTTGTCCTTAAAGTAATTCCCTTAGGCTGTATTATGATAATAAATACTAATAAGTGACAAGACTGTATCTGTGAGAATATGATAATGGAATTGTTAGTAAGAGTGGGATTCTGTATTCTGCAGTTTACCAGATTATCTGCTGCATATAACTAACCACTTGCCGAAAAGAAAGGACAGCTAAGATTTTATAACATGCCACCTAAAATCCCCAGTAGTTATGATATAAAATTTAAATCAGTTTGTATCCACAAAACATAATTTGTAATGAATGAATAAATGAAATAAAATGTAATAAGCAGTATACTTGTAATTGCTTAGGATGACAGTTATCTTAATATAACTGAAGTATCTCTTCACATAGGCATTAACAGATCAACAGCAGTTTGGTAAAGCTGATGAAATGTATGATAAATGTATTGACTTGGAGCCAGATAATGCCACAACATATGTTCATAAAGGGTATGTATTTTTGTGGTTCTCTCTGTTCAAATAAGGTAATAAATTTCTTGCATTGTGATAAAAGGAATTTCTTTTGGCCACTGAGGAAGGGGACTGTGGAAGATAAGCTTATTGAAAAACTTCTTAATGCATATGGATGCTGTTTCTTTTATAGAAATTAGTAAATGTATATTTTCACTCTGTTAAGTGTTTTAATTTTAACATAAATATCCTGTCAAATGTTGTTTTTATCAAAGTAGAAAACAGTAAGTTTTTCCTGTCCTTGTGTACTTGAATTATCATAAGAAATTTCACTTAAATTCACATAAAGTAAAAAATAAGAGGTATGAGATATGTTAGCAATAGAACCTATGCTGAGCACTTTTTTCATAAGGAACTTAGACTATAAAACCAATGTAAGCTGAGAAAAAAACAATTTGATGGTAATTATATGCTGCTTTAGTTTTTGTTTCTCCTAATAAGTTAAATTATAAATTCATTGAGGTCAGAAATTGAGTCATATACTTAATGTTCATATTGATACTGGGCCATGGTCATTTTTTTTTCCCCCTGATTGCAGTTTACTTCAACTTCAGTGGAAGCAAGATCTGGATAGAGGTTTGGAACTTATCAGCAAGGCTATTGAAATTGACAATAAATGTGATTTTGCATATGAAACCATGGGAACTATTGAAGTGCAAAGGTAACTTCTAGAGTCTGCCCATAGACAATTTATGGCAGCTATAGATATTTATCCTTTGTCCTTTATTACATAGATGTTAAAGTCTGTTATACCTTCTAAAGCAAGCTTTCCTCAATACTATACAACTTTGAATGGCCTTGTATCACTACTTTTCCCAAATTAAAAGTCACGCTTATAAAAACTGTTTAGGTCAGATAGATACATGAGAAAGGGAATCTAGGTCTTTCTCTGATATCTGTTACATGATCTTTCCTCTTTTCACCTGTATTATTCCCATTAGAAGGGAAAAAATGCCAGGTTGCCAGGAGATCTGGATCCTGCTGTGAAGAAGCAACCAGCCAAGCAGACATAATCAGTTTTTCCCATCCTTGGTGTATCATCCAAGTGACTGGGCAAGTGGCAATGTCATCTCTGAGCCCCTGAGTTTTTTAAAATTAGGGTTAGATAAGAACATTCCTTACAAGTCTGACGGTCCTTATTCTGTGAAAATGTTTATCCAGATTTGCTCTTATGACCCACCGTTAACAGATGACAACTGTTTACACATGGGATTTATTATATGCCTTCTTAATACTGGCATTGCTGTTCATTTATGTACCTACTCTAGGCCAGGTACTAAACTTTACATGTTTTCTAAGTAATTATTACAGTTACTCTTTACCCCCATCTTTATAAAGGTGGAGATTATATGATTCCCAGTTTAACTGATGCTCAGACTGGTTGGGTTAACAAGGCAGCACAGAGAGCTAGACACGATTTGAGTCCATATTTCACTGATACCAAAGTCACTGATCTTGCCACTATTGCTTGTCAGGAATCAGCATGAATTTTCTTAATTCTCTTATCTTTCGGCCCGTCCTGTGGTCCTCTTCTTGCTCTAGAGTAGGCTGATGAAAAACTCTGGTTCTTGTGAGCCATTGTATACTGATAGCTGCAAGTAAATATTATTTTCTAATTGCTTGTTAATGTGAATAAAATATATTAGAATAGGATAAGGTAGTGGTTCCTAATCTTTTTGAGCAAAGCAGTAGATACTTAGAATAATGCACATATAAAAACACTTTGCTTTTTTTTTTTTGAGTTGGAGTCTCACTGTCTCCCAGGCTGGGGTACAGTGGTATGCTCACGGCCACCACAGCCTCGACCGGCTGGACTCAGGCAATATTTCCGCTTCAGCCTTCCAAGTAGCTGGAACCACAGGCGTGTGTCACCAACACCTGGCCAAATTTTTTATTTATTGTAGAGATGGGATCTCTCCATGTTGCCCAGGCTAGTCTTGAACCCATGAGCTCAGGCAGTCCTCTTGCCTCCACCTCCCAAAGTGCTGGGATTATAAGCATAAGCCACTGCTCCTGGCCAGTGCTTTCAATTTAAGGTGTTTGTAGCCGGGCTTGGTGACTCAGCCTGTAATCTCGTGCTTTGGGAGGCCGAGGTGAGTGAATTGACTGAGCCCGTGGGTTCGAGACCCGCCTGGGCAACTTGGCGAGACCTCATACAATAAATCAAAAAAATTATCCGGGCATGGTAGCGTGTGCCTGTAGTCCCAGCTACATGGAAGGCCGAGGCGGAAGGATCACTGGAGCACAGCAGGTCGAGGCTACAGTGGCTGGGAGGGAGTGTGCCACTGCACTCCAGTCTGGGTGACAGAGTGAGACTCCAGCTCAAAAAAAAAAAAGCAAAAACAAAAACGCAGTGTTCATAGATCCTGGGCTCTGAATTTAGGGCTCTGAAATTTTGTTTTTGTGTTAATTTTACTTGAAATCCATTCTAAATCTTACCTTACAATTAAATAAATGAATGTGAATGAATGAATGAAATTTCTGATTATCCTAGAATTTAGCTGATCTACTAGCTGGTGACCTAATAACTGAACACGAACTTTTGAAAAAATTTTTAAAACATAAGTATCATGAAGCCACATATTATTGTAAAGAGTTAAATATAGTTACTCTGGAGGTACCTCTTACTGGCATATATAGAGTCTAACTGGCATAGATAGATAGATAGTCTAACTGGCATAGATAGATAGATAGACAGGACTTAAATATTCTTTATAGGATTACATACATATATGCATATATACATAGCTAATACAAGTTACTTAAAACTGTTGGTCCTCAGTAAGTATATAAAGCGTAGCCACACTTAAGACTATAAGAGGTAAATTATATCTTACTGACCAGACATGTTCATCTGTTTACTCAAAATGCAGATAGTAACTACCCAGCCATTGTACAAGGTTCTGGGAATTGGAAGGTGTCCATCAAGGTGCTAGTGAGATTACGGTGTAAACAAATCCATACATTCATGTGACCCTGCATTGAATGACAGTGGAGCTGTGGGAATGTTGGGCATAGGACAGCTTTCATTCCCATGGGTAGGGAAGGGGAGATTTTTCAGGAGGCTACTGTATTTGAACTGAGCCTTAGAAAGATGAAGATTTAACCAGAATCAGGCAGAGGCAATAAATCATCTGAGCAATATATGCAGACTGCGAGTGTGTGGCACAGCCAAGGAGGTCGGTTGACCTGTGTGACAAGCACAGGTGATGGAGTGGGGGTCATGGTGCCAGACATGAGGCAGAAAGAAGGTAAAGCCCTTGAGTGCCATTAGTGTTGTCTAAAGCTCTGTCACTGCTTTCCAAAGGAGCCTGTTTTACAGCAGAAACATGTAGAATTTAGAAACCAGGCAGAATTATGATTTTAAATAAGCCAATTTCCTTAGTCTCACTGTTATCTGTAAACAGAATACAAGAGATTTAATACAAGCAAAAAGTATTTGTATCGTGTTAGGCACTCTTATTTATTTTAGAAGAATAATTTTGGTAGAATCATAGTTGAAACTTTGTGGTCAGACTTCATGTAGCATCACATGTAAACGTCATTGGCTCTTATGACATACTTGTTAAATCTTTTACAATTTGTGTTTTAGGGGAAACATGGAGAAAGCCATTGACATGTTCAACAAAGCTATTAACCTGGCCAAATCAGAAATGGAGATGGCCCATCTGTATTCACTTTGTGACGCCGCCCATGCCCAGACAGAAGTTGCAAAGAAATACGGATTAAAACCACCAACATTATAAAACAGGGGGAAGGAGACTGGCCCTCTTTTTAAAAGTTTACCCCCTCTTCAACTGAACCCTAAAGACACTGTCAAGAACTGTGCTGAATGGTGGGACTTAGCATTTCCATTTGTGGTATTGTCGTTACATCTGTCTCATGTTTAGGTGTTGTGGGCGTGGCTGTTAAAGGACATTTGCCGTCTTGCAGCTTCTATTCCCTGTGCAACAAAAGCTTAGAACCTGTTAACGGGATATTAAAATAAAGTTGCAAAGAGTACAAATGATAATTGGCCATGCAAATAAAAACTCTGATTTGTTGATTTTTTTATGGGGGATTGTGGGATTATGTTTAGGATGATTTTGTCTTTATATGTGTGTATATAGTATGAGTATTTTACAGCTGTTGGTTTTAAAATTCACATCGTAAATGCTGTAAAATAGATTTCTTTTATAGTCAGTCCCTTAGTTGAATTTTTTTTTTTAAGGAAACAAAGCTTAAACAGGGATTATAGTAAAATTCAGAGACCCTGTGTCAGCATGCACAGTGCCTCTGATTATGCAGAATTTTAGAAACTTAGTGGCTACTGTTAATCTTCTGGACCCCCTTCTGCTCTAATGGATAATGTACATCCTTCTGAAAGTCTGCAACAGCTGGTTTTCATACAGTAAATTATGTAGCCACAAAATATTCTACTTGATATATATACTGAAAGACTCAGTGCTGATGGATGAATGGACCTGGCAAAGAGGTAAGATAAAACGGAAGTGTGTTTGTAATTGTAACTATTTTCTGTAAAAAGTACTATTATTTAATAGTGTACTTTTAAAAAAATGCAAGGTAGCTGTGTCCACGCACCTGTAGTCCTATCTACTTGGGATGCTGAGGTGGGAGGCTTGGGGATGCTTGACCCAGGACTTTGAGGCTACAGTATACTATGATGATCATGCCAGCAAATAGCTACTGCATGCCAGCCTGGGCAACATATAAAGACCTTGTTTCTTAAAAAAAAATTTTTGAAATTAAAAAAAAAAGTGCAGATTTCTTTTGTGTATAACCCAAATAAAGATGGAATAAGTGTGATATATGGGAGTAATTAGCTTAAAATTTCTAGTGGAGAAAATGACTCAAGGTTTAGAAAGGAAGTCCTAGAGCCAGAGCATAGTATTTCCTGAAATAACAAGTTTAGTGCATCAACTATGACTACATATGCTTAAGTAATCTTGAGCCAGTATTTTTGAAGACCCTGAGGCTGTGTAGAGTGTTTCTAAGTTTGCACTAACCTTGATCTTTAAGGACTAGCTACCCATGTCCAAGTCTTTACGAGGGATGCTGACAGCAGATTTTTGTTTTTGTTTTGTTTTATCTTTATCTCCTTTCTTAGAAATCACTTTCAGTTTTATTTCCAATTGCCACTTGTATAGACTATCCTTTTGCTTATATGCTGGATTTTTCTGGCAGGAAAGGGGTTGTATTCTTAAGGGGTCTCTTGTTTGGAGATATTCTGGATGGGGAAAGGTCTACTTAAGACAGACTATAACTAAAGAGCAAGCCTTCAGTTCTCCTTTTCTGGAAGTTTAATTATAGTTAAGACTGTTGGGAGTAAAAGCATTTTTACCCCCTCTTTAAAAGGGTGCTTTATCCTGTTGAAACTAAAAAGATTTTGTCTATAAATGCTATCTTTTTAGAAACTCTTAGAAATGACTCTTCAAAGTCAATCTTTGGAAAATATAGGGGGTGCCAAAAAAATTGTATATACATTTTAAGTATGATGTTCGCCCAAAAGATGGCATTAATCAAATGAATGCTAGCATCACCATATGACAGGCAGGACAAAGAAAATGGTGGAAGCACAATTGAGCAAACATACACATTGCTGCCATAATTTAACTTTGCAAAGTAATACATAGATAACATCTCTTAAAGTGTATATATTTTTTTTGGCACCACCTATATTTAAGAGGCCTCTAATCATTAGGAGCAGTTAATGTAATACAAGATGGCTTGGATGATGGAATGTTTGAGAGCTCTTCATTTTGTTCTTAAATTGTGCACCTATTATGATAACCCCTGAGTACAGAAATATTCTACATCTCTGAATGACCTCTGATTTAGTTTTTATTTGCATGGCTGTAGTTACATGAACGCTGAGTTTTCTTCTACTCTTCTCCCTCTTCCCCCTTGGGGCTGGGTAGACAACCACAAAGGAAACACGCATGTGCCATTCAGTACTATCATTCCAAATTCTCACGGACTATTGCCTGTTGTGAAAATTATCTGAAACTGCACTGAAAGCTGCATCTGTCTGTATCTTTTCTTTTGTAAATGACCTCACATGTAAATTCACCAAATAAATATTACATTCAAGCTTTTTTATCTATTCTTTAAATAGAAAGTTAGGTAGTTTACTCATTTATTATACTATTGGATAAATTCAGTCATTCTCTTGTGGGCTCAAATTAACTGAAAATAGGCTAGATTCGGTGGCTCAGCCTGTAATCCCAGCACTTTGAGAGGCCAAGGTGCGTGGATTGCCTGAGCCCATGGGTTCGAGACCAGCTCGGGCAACTTGGCAAGACCACGTCTCTACAATAAATCCAAAAAGTTAGCCAAGTGTGGTAGTGCGCGCCTATAGTTCCTGCTACTTTGGAAGGCTGAGGCAGAAGGATCGCCGGAGCCCATCGGGTTGATGCTGGGGTGGCCATGAGTGTGCCACTGCACTCGGAGCCTGGGTGTCACAGTGAGACTCCAACTCAAAAAAAAAAAAAGAAAATAGGAAAATACTGAACATGTTAGTATATGAAGCAGAATAGTTTGTTGGTGTGAATGGTTGAAGTTTCCTGAGAGCATCCAGCCCTTACTACTGTGAAATAAGGTAAGGCTCCTCAGAGAGCTAGAAGAGGCAACTTACTTCCCCTTATCTCTACCTCCCCCCTGCATGCATGGCAGCCTTGAAGATTGCCTGTTAGACTTGGGCCCCGAGGTGAGCTTATTATCAGACTGGTTTCACCAGGAGTTTAATCATAGTCGTCAACCACATGGAGTCTCTGAATATAAACCTGAAATAATCTCCACCATCCGTAATAATTGTGGCATAAATGGGGAATCCATCCCAAAACAATAGTAAAAAGCTTTGGTTTTTTAACAATGCAAGCAGAACTTTCTGCCCTCTGGAAACTCAAAATGTAGTTTACTCAAAATGCAGTTGAAATAGTACTTTGTACCTGTAGAAGTCAACTAATGGTCATCTTAAGACTGTTTATAAACAGGACCATCATATAATTTAACCACACCAGGAAACTTCTGAATAAAAAAGTAATAATGACCCAAGACTGTTCTAGGTAAATTGTGTTGTATGGTCTTTGCATTTATAAGGAAATCACTTGGGAGTGGTTGCAGGGAGATGGGTGATAATTAATCCTACTTCTGTCCTCTGCTAAATGGGTTTTTGAACAAAGTGACAGAATTTTGATTGTAAGCTTTAACACACCGATAAAATGAATTATGGTTCTCCAATATACCCACATCCTTATCCCTGAAACCAGTGAATATCACCTTAGTTGGCAGATGTGGGCTTTGCAGCTGTAATTAAGGGTTTGGGGATGGGGAGATAATCCTAGATTATCTGGGTAACCCCAGAATGCAATCACAAATGTCTATATAAGAGAAATATTTCAGATTGTAATTTGAAAGAGATTGGAATAATGTGGTCACGTGCCAAGGAATGCTGGCAGCCACTGGAAGCTGGAAAAGGCAAGAAATGGATTTTGCCCTGGAGCAGTGCACAGCCCTGCCAATGCCTTGATCTTTGGCCCAGTGAGTAAGATAGTAACTTTGTGTTGTTTTAAGCCATTAAATTTGTGGGGTTTGTTTTTAGCAGCAACAGGAAAATAATATACACTCCTTTGGCTATTGTGTGCAAGAAGGCATATAGTTTAAAGGGATTTTTTTTTTTTTTGAGTATCCCAAAATACAATGACTATGCACATGTGCATTTTGGCCAACTCCCAGGCTACAGACCGGAGTTTAGTCAAGTAATGGGAGTATTTGTGATTTAAGGCATCTATGATCGTGATCATGCTATAATCATCAGGTCAAAAGCCTGCTGCTTAGATATGAGGTAAAAGTGGGATCCCTCTGCCAACATCCTAGAAGAGGCACCAAAAGGAGTACACTATTTTCCAATATTTTGAAACCCTTAGAATTAGCATAAAAAACCTAGTCTGGCTTATTTTAAGGTGACAGTGCACACATTATATTGAGGGTCGAGAACTAGTACTCCCATAGCTGGGGTCCCTGGCTCCAAAGAAGAGGCAGTTAAAGATGGGGGAAGGCTAAGGGACAACATGATTGCTACCCTTCAGAGCCCAGGGTTTGAGCCCATGGCTCAAATTTGAGCCCATGGCTCAAATTTCTCCAGCACTTTTGCTGGCGCTTAAACATACTTCCGTGCAAGTTATCTCCTTGAAGGCCATGGGAACGTTTACCTAGATTGGGAAGAAGACTATAATTAACACTGACTCTTGGGCATCATCTTACAGGGTGAAAGGTTTAAAGCAAGAAGAACCAGAATGAAGCATGGTGAGATTCTCTGCAGAGATGACCCATGGCCTAAATTATCTATGAGCTGTTCTAAATAACTTTTACCTGATTTTATTTCTCATTACTTGCTTTGTGTCCAGAGCTATAAAGGATCTAAGGTTTTACCCTTCTTGCAAACTTGTTTCCCAAATGCCGGCAGCAGACGTTGAGACTCCTGGGTCAGATAATGGGCTTAATTATTTAGAGCACAGCAGGCAACATGAGCTGGTGCCCCGGATCCGATGGGAGTGTCTGATCTAGGTGGATACTGCACATGAAGTTGGTTTGCGTCACAGCCCAAATCCTTAATGAGCTGGCCACAAGCTAACCTGCCTGACTTCTGCATCAGAGAGAAACATTACTTGTATTATATTGGATAGCAAACAAGCCTGTCCAGAAGGAGACGGTCTCTATCTTCCAAAGTTGTCCATTATATGGACATCCTTGATTGGACAGTCTGGAATAAAAATTGCCAATGCCTCTACTAACAAGATGTGTGGAGAACCATGAGGAATTGATTTCCCCATCTCTACGTATTATTACCTCTTATTAATTCAAGCCAAACCTAGTCCTTCACCAGTTTAGAGGATTATACTGTCTATTTGGACCATAGCTAGGTGCAAAGAATTAGTCCTGAGCACCAGGTAACCTTAGTTCTAACTAAACACTGCCCTCTACCAGCTGTGTAATCTTAAAGTTAATGAAGACCCTATCTAACTCTACAGTATGTGATTTTACATCATGTCTCAGGATCTTCCCAGATTACAATCCCTTAGGTTAAGAGAATCACTCCAGAAAATATAGAATTTAGCCAGAAAACTTGCAAGAGAACAAGTGCAGCCTGCAGGAATAAATTCACTCCAACTCAGCATTCACTAAGCACCCATCAAGGTGAGGGTTAGTCATGAAAAGGTGAACATAAAGGCCTCATAACCATGAACATAAAGGAGCGTGATAACCAAATGGCAGTTTGGGTGCCATAAAGTTAAGTACAATGTGCCACGGAAACACACAAGAGTAATAAATTCTGCTAAATCTTAAGGAATAAGTAGGATTTAAGTACAAGAGCCTTCCAGAAGGTGGGGAAACAACCACAACCAGAGATCTAAGTGAAGGGACACTGTGAGCCTGAGCTGCAAATGAGTTGAAGAGGTTATAAACTAGGGAAAAGCCAACCGCAGAGCTACATATATGAGAATTATCAACATCCACTGAAGATCCTGCATGTAAGTGAGACAATTCAGGACAAAATGTGAAATAGAAAGGGACTAAAGATACAACTCTGAGAAACATTAATGGACAAATAAAGCTGTCAATGAAAAAGTGGTCAGAGAGAAAGTAAGAACAAGGTCACGCTGATGGTGTAAGCTTTCAAAGGCCAGACGGACAGATCTACAAATCAATCCTTAGTCATCTTTGCCCCAGAAGTGTCACTGGAATGATGAGGGCAGAGAATTTTTACTAGTGAGCAGAAATGGCCCCTTTAAGAAATTAGATGAAAAAAATGAAAGTAGTCTATAAGATGGCATGCTTTTGTTTTAAGGAAGAAACAGAATGAACCTACAAAGGATATTGAGCACAAAAGGATGTACCTGAAGAGTTCAAAGTCCTCCAGGAAGAGCCAGGATGACTTCAACTTGGCAAGTGACTGCACCGTGCCTGCCATGCCCATCTCGCAGATTCTTGTTTGTTCAGTGGATTATGAATCAGCTACAAAGTAAGTCACCGAACAAGTAGTATCCTTAGACAGCTGTGATTTACTGATCTGACTGTACATCAAGGGCTTAACTTTTTAATTGCTGATTTTAACAAGACTATTGTATGCTAACACACTTTCGCTACCAGCAACTAGTTTTCTTATGCTCCAAGAAGAAATAGAACCGAATGAAGATAATTTGACAAGAAATATGAACCTGCAACAGAAAGGTGGTTATGAGGCATGGGGAAGGAGAGCCATACTGAACCTGTGGCACCAGCAATATGTTGGTCAGCACAGATGTCACAGAACACATTTTTCCCCTTTCCATTCCTAGTGTCATCATTACCTGTTCACTAACAAAACTTACCCAGTACCTAAAAAGGAGCATGAAAGACCAGTGCCAGTAGAGCGTTCATCTTGAAACCTCAACTCTTGTCTAACCCTTTTTTGTTCACTTGTTATAACGTACACAGACCTAACTTTGGTATCAGCAAACAGTCCTTTCCTAAATACCACATGAAGTCACTAACTACTATTTAGCTATTTAAAGTCCCACAATGTTATTAGCATACTCATTTCCAACCAGTGCAACACCCATTGGTTAGTTCACCTCAACCTTTTTTTTTTTTTTTGAGTTTGGAGTCTGTCGCCCAGGCTGGAGTACAGTGACACACTCACAGCCAGCCACCCCAGTGTCTACCCACTGGGCTCCAGCGATTCTTCTGCCTCAGCCTTCCAAGAAGCCAGAACTACAGGTGAGTGCTACCACTCCCGGTTAATTTTCTAGTTATTGTAGAGACAAGGTCCCACTAAGTTGCCCGGGTTGGTCTCGAACTCATGGGCTCAGGCAATCCATTCACTGCAGCCTCCCAAAGTGCTGGGATTACTGAGCCAGCAAGCCTGGCTACCTCAACCTATTTCTTTTTTTTTTTTTTTTTGAGTTGGAGTCTCACTCTGTTGCCCAGACAGGAGTGCAGTGGCCGCTCCCAGCCACCGCAGCCTCGACCTGCTGGGCTCCGACGATCCTTCCGCCTCAGCCTTCCAAGTAGCTGGAATTACATGTGCACACTACCACACCTGGCTAATT